CTCACTGAATGGAATAAACAGGAATAAAATCAGCTACCTCTATGGAAAGAGATTATGGAGAAAATCAACATTAGAATAGGGCCAGGGGCCAACTGTGGAACAGACCATCAGTTGCACATATGTAAGTTCAAACTGAAGCTGAAGAAAATTAAAACAAGTCCAACAAATTAAAACAAGGTCCAAATATGACCTTGAGTATAGTCCTCCTGAATAGATTTGACACATTGAACACTAATAACCAAAGACCAGATGAGTTCTTGGATGATATCAAGAACATTATATATGAAAAAAGCAAAAGGTCAGTAAAAAGATAGGGAAGAAAGAAAAGACCAAAATAGATGTCAGAAGAAACTCTGAAACTTGCTCTTGAATAGAGAACAGCTAAAGTAAAAGGAAGAAATGATGAAATAAAAAAGCTGAACAGAAGATTTCAAAGGCTGGCTTGAGAAGACAAAGTAAACTATTATAATGAAACATGCAAAGACTGAAGCTAGAAAATCAAAAAAGAAGAATACACTCAGCCTTTCTCAAGCTGAAAGCACTAAAGAAAAAATCCAACCATCGAGTTGTAGTATTGAAGGATTCTAAGGGCAAAATATTGAAAAACATAGGAAGCATCAAAAGAGATGGAAGGAACATGCAGAATCACTGTTCCAAAAGGAATTGTTTGATGTTCAACCATTTCAGGAGGTAGCATAGGATTAAGAACTGATGGTACTAAAGGAAGAAGCTCAGCCTCCAGGAAATGACAGAATACCAATTGAGATGTTTCAACACATGGATGCAATGCTGCAAGTGCTCTCTTGTCTACGCCAAGAAATTTGGAAGACAGCTGTGTGGCCAATAGTCTGGAAGAGATCCATATTTGTGTTCATTGCAAAGAAAGGTGATGCAACAGCATATGGAAATTATTGAATAATATCATTAATATCACATGCAAGTAAAATTTTGCTGGAGATAATTCAAAAATGGTTGCAGTGATACACTGATAAGGAACTACCAGAAATTCAAGCCAGATTCAGAAGAGGACATAGAATGAGGAATATCATTGATATCCATCATCAGATGGATCTTGGCTGAAAGCAGACAATAACAGAAAGATGTTTAACTGTGTTTTATTAACTATGTAAAGACATTCAACTATGTTGATAATAACAAATTATAGACAACATTGCAAAGAATGGGAATTCCAGAACACTTAATTGTGGTCATGAGGAACCTATACATACCCAAGAGACAGTTGTTCAAACACAACAAGGGGATACTCTGTTGTTTAAGATCAAGAAAGTTATGCATCAGGATAGTATCCTTTGCCCATACTTATTCAATCTATATGCTTAGCAAATAATCCAAAAAGCTGGACTATATGAAGAAGAACAAGGCATCAAGATTGGAGGTAGACTCATTAATAATCTGTGAAATGCAGGTGACACAAGCTTGCTTTCTGAGAACAAAGAAGACTTGAAGCACCTTCTGGTGAAGATCAAAGAGCCTTCAATGTGGATTACATCTCAGCATATAAAAAATAAAAATCCTCACAACTGAACCAATAAGCCACACATGATAAATAGAGAAAAGATTGATGCAATCAAGGGTTTCATTTTACTTAGATCCACAATCAATGCCCATAGAAACAGCAGTCAAGAAATCAAATGATGTATGCAATGGGCAAATCTGCTGCAAAAGACCTCTTTAAAGTGTTAAAAAGCAAAGATGTCACTTTGAAGAATAATGTGCACCTGACTCAAGTCATAGTATTTTCAATTGCCTCATATGTATGCAAAAGCTGGACAATGAATAGGAAGCCCAAAGAAGAATTGACTCATTTGAATTATGGTGTTGGTAAAGAATATTGAATCTACCATAGACTGACTGAAGAATGAACAAATCTGTCTTGGAAGAAGTACAGCCAGGATGTTCCTTAGAAGCAAGGATGGTGAGAATTTGTCTCACATTCTTTGGTCATATTGTCAGGAGGTACTAGTCCCTGGAAAAAGACATCTTACTTAGAAAAGTAGAGGGGCAGTAAAAATAAATAAATAAATAAGAGGAAGACCTTCAATGAGATGAACTGATACAGTGGCTGCAACAATGGGCTCAAACAAATGTGAGGCTGGCGCAGGACTGGGTCGTGTTTCGTTCTGTTGTACATAGGTTTGCTATAAGTCAGAACTGACTGGACAGCACCTAACAACAACAAAAGGGCAAGGAAGAGTTGTCTATAAGTCAAAGTTTCGTAACCTGAGAACTGCGTGCACATGCTACAGTGTGGTTGAACCTCAAAAACTCTATTCTAAGTGAAAGAAGTTAAGACACAAAATATTGCACAAATATTATGGGATTCCATTTATATGAAGGGATTCCATTTATATGAAATGTCCAGAAAAGACAAAAACAGCAAGTGGTTGCCTAGGGCAGGGAATATCTTAGTTTCCTTGGTTGCCATAGCAAAATACCACAAATTGGGTGGCTTTAAAGAACAGACATTTATTTGTCTCACAGCAATTGGCCGTGTTAATTCTTTCTGAGGCTCTGAGAGAGGATCTGTTCCCGGCCTCTCTCTCAGTGTCTAGGAGCTCACACCAATCCTTGGCATTCCTCAGTGTTCCTCGGCTCGCAGCTGTGTCTGCCTCCACCCTCACATGCCTGTTCTTCCTCTGTCTATATCTGTCTCCTTCTCTGTCCTCCTCCTTTATAAGAAACCACTGAGATGGGATTAGGCCCCACCATATAACTTCATATTCACTGGTAACACCTTCAAAGACCTTATTTCCAAACAGGTCCAAGGGTTAGAACTTTAGTTTATCAGAGGACACAATTCAATCCACGACAGGATGAAACTAGAAGAAACTGCAAATGCACACAAGGGGATTTTGGAGGTGATGGAAATGTTCTAAAATTGGTTCCACCACTCTGCATGCAAATTGACTAAAAATAATTGACTAGCACACTTGAAACAAGTGAAGGTGATGGTTTGTAAATGATACCTCAGTGTGCCATTAAAAAAACTCTCAATAACACATTGTTGGCCCCAAGTGAGGAGGAATTGCTAAGAGAAAGATCTGGTGTGTTAAGGGTAGGGTTCAGTTGTTCTGTAAAAACTGTTGTTGGGTGTTTTTGTTTTACATTTCATTGTTATTGTACTGTTTTTTTTTTTTTTTTTTGAAGTTATGCATGCAATCGTAAGTCAAATGTTGGATTTATTCTTGTGCGGTCATCACTGAAACCTGCCCATGATGGTAGGAGAGCCAGAACTTGGGCACTGAGCATGATTCCCTGAGCATGGTTCCACTGGTCTCCAGGAGGCCTGGTCAGGAGCCAAGTATTATCTCAGGAGCCACAGAGCAGTGGGTCATGTCATTGGGAAAGAAGTACACAGGTGTCCTTCAACATGGTCTGCAATGCCCTGGGTGACCTGTTCCTGCCTCTCCTGGTCATCACTCCCCGCACCTCGGCCATCAACATGCCCAGCTGAATCCTACTGCAGGCCATCATCCTTGCAGGTCCTCTCTCCGGCGTACTCCTCCTCTAGGTATTCATACTCCTGCACCCCATCACTCACATCTCTAATGCCACCTCCTCATTGGCCCACTGCTACAATATCCCACTTCTTGCCTCCTGATGCTTTATGTGGAACATACTTGTTGAATAAGCAAATAACCAAATAAGTGATAGGAATGTGATAACCAGCAAATGGGAGCTAGTTCACCAGGTTTCTCAAAAGACTTGAACTTCTGAATCCTCAAAATGTTTGTCTAGTTGAAACCAGACCCTACAATGGGACCTTGGGGTAATGGAAACCAGTGACTGAGTCCCTGGTCCTCCAAGGATCCTAGACCGTTGGAGGAACCTCAGATGTGTCCCCCTATAATTTGAAGCCAACTATGATAAAGGGGGATGAGGAGTGATTAGAGATAAGGGGATGAGAGTGATAGGGAACTTGGGGTGATTCTGATTGGGGTGACTGTTTCACAGGTATAGATGTATGTCCAAACTTAGCAAATTGTAAGTTTGTGTTATTTATTGTATGAATACTATTAAAATCAATTGGGAGTTGGGGGAGGCTCCCCCACGGGGAACAAGGAAGAACCTGAAAGCGAAGGAATTCTCAGCAAGGTGACCAGGAAGGTCTTTGCAGTCAGGTAGACCTGAGTTCCAAAGTCCATTCTGTGCCTTCCTCTATGGGTGACCTAGACAACCTGGACAATCTACACCTCAGCTTCACAGTGAGCACCAACAAACTGTGAATACGGTTGAGGGAAAGGCCTGCCTTATCCAGACCTGTGTACTTCTTTTGCCACAATGTTCCATTCTGTCCCCACCACCATCTCCTGGGAGTCAGCCTATCTCACCCTCCCTCAAGCACCTGGGCAGGGCACCACTCTATTTTATCCCCCTCCCTAGATGTTCACACACACACACACACACACACACACTTCTAAATTAAAGGAATACTGACCTCCTTGGCTCTCTAGCCTTGGTCTTCATCTGCCTTCCCTGCCTGGGCACAAGCCCATCTTACCCACCATCCTTAGCGCACATCTCTGAGATCCAGCGCTGTGCTCTACTTTTTTAGAGCTCTATGAACAGGTCCGGTTTACACTAACCATGCGCCTTGGCCTACAGGACTTTCTGGATGCACCATCACTTCTTAGCCCCAAGGCCATTCCAGACCAAGGCAGGTGCCACAGCAGAAACAGCCCCAGGCCCCTTTTCAGAGGTCCAGGAGGCCCAACCCATACTTCCACTGTCAGGCCCCAGTTGGCACCAGAAAAGCAGGGGTGTGTACGTGGAGCGACAGGGCCTCCAGAGCAGCGGACGTAGGCTTTGCCACCAGTCTAACCAGGACTGAGCACCCAGCCAAAGGCGAACCTGGCCGCCCTCCTAGGTCCCAAGCCTCACAGGCCCCAGGAAGTCTCCGACCTCCCATCGCGGGCCGCCTCGGTCTCCCAGCTGCGACACTGCCAGCGCAGCACCTCTGAGGGCAGGGCCACACTTACCAGCCCCCGTCCGCAGGAGTGCAACCGTGGCTCCACCTGACCGCCTCACTTCCCGTGTCTCCTCCACCACCTCAGCTCGCCCTTCGCACCTGGAACTGGGGTTGACGACCCGGGTGCCGACCCCGGGTGCTGAGAGACCCTAAGGGGCAGCTCCGCCTAGCGCGGGCGGCCAATGAGGCGCGCGACCCTTGCAGCCCCACTCCCCGCCCCTAGACGCCCCGCCCTCGGACGCTCCGCCTTTGATGACCAGCCCTTGGGCGCACCTGCCCCTGATGCCTTGCACCCTGGGAGCCTCCCGGTGGCGGTGGCGCCGAGTCCCAGCAGAATCTCATCTGCTCCCTCCCGGCGTCGCTGAGCCCCAGGACCTGAGTGCGATCCGCCGCCGCCTCGGAGCGGGCCTGCCTGAGACCGGTCCCCTCCGGACCCCACGATGGCCTGAAGTCCTTTTGCTCATTCGCGGACACTCGCTGAACGCCCTCCCTGCCCGACGTAGATTCACAGAAGCTGGTGTGTCGCCGCGTCCGCCTGTCTGGACAGGACACATGTCCTGCGGGAGTTGGGGGACTCGGTTGAGACATCCTGAAAGTGGGCGTGGGAACAACAGCCCACACTTATCCAGGACTGGTACTTGCCAGGCTGTTTCAAAGGTTTTTAATTCTCTCCACAGGATCCCAGTGGGGCCTGTACTGATCCTCTTACATTGGGGACGGCGAGGCACACAGGGTGAAGCAGTCTTCAGTGCCCTGGTTCATATCTCTTCCTCCCCTTGTTGTGCACTCTTGGCTTATGCACTCTCACTGGGAGCATGGTGTTGCCTAGAGACTAGAGTTTCTCATCTGTTTGGTGCTAGTTCTGCTAGCGGTCAGCTAATACTTAAGCTCCTCATCCTTTCCCAGCCCTCCTGCGCGGCCATTAGGTGGCTCTGGACGGGGCCTCCTCACACAAGAAACCAAGTGAGCAGTCTCAGGGTCCCTCTCCCCACTCCACAGCTTTGTTTGGCTGGAACTCTTATCCAGAGGAAAAGAGACTGTCCTCGGGAGGTAACAAAGAGTGTCACCTTGTTAGCAGAATCCAGCCCTACTGGGAATATGTTACCCTTTGTGGCATCCTGGGAACTGGAGCCCAGCTGGACACGACTTGAGGTGGATGGTATCCCATTGCCAGCCTTCCTCACCCTCCTGACCTGCAACACCTTCCAAGCCACTCCTGCTAGCAATCTGCCTGTCTCTTGGCCTGCCCTTGAGGCCATGATTTGCTGGATCAATTGCACAAACCTTACCTAGTACTCTGCTATGCCAGATAGTCTGAGTGCTTTCCTGGGTTCGCTCATTTAATCTTTATGATAGCTTTACCTTTAACAGGTAAACTAAGGCACAGAAAGTTTAAGTGACCTGTACAAAGTGAGCAGTACAGCCAGGATGTGGACCCAAGAGACATGGCTCCAGAGTCTTCCCTCTAGCTCAAGCCAGGAAGCCCCTCCATGGAGCCCAAAGTGCACCATTATCCAATCTCACCTCCCCCCCAAAAAAAAAACAAAACTGTTTTAAACCCTCGCTGCTCTCCTTACATCCCCAGAGATGAGGCATCCCCATCTCTGCCTCCTCCATAAAGCCCTAGATTTTCTCCCTGTTGGGCAGTGAGCTCACTACCCTACCCCAGTGTGTATGAAAGCATGGTCCCCAACCAGTAGCCTCAGCATCACCTGGGAACTTATTAGACATGACAAGTTCTAGTGAATGAGAAACCATGGAGGTTGGTTTGAATGGTTGAGAACCATAGCCCTACATGCTCCTCCAGTATTCATCTCATCCATCTTGAAATGGATCAAATAAAGGAAACGAGTGGAAATCTTAAGATGGTCAGAGAAGACCATCCTTGGAGGTCATCAGCCCTATGAACTCTGCTGAAAACCAGGTCTGACTTTAGGCCTTGGAAAGAAGCTTCTGCTTTAGTGTCAAGAACTATGAAGAGTCTGGGATTTCATCCTACTTGCAGCTAATAAATGAGCCCACCACAGTTTCGTGGATGCTAGCAGAAGATACAGGACATCTGGGTCAGAGACAGAGGCATAGCAAGCAGCAAGAGCTTCATGTTCCCATCAGTTCCTGATGATGGAATACTAAAAGTTCCCCTAGAAGCTTCTTTCTCGTTGGGACTTGTTTATGGAATTCCAGATCTTGCGTAGGCCTCTTGGCTGACCACTCACCTGGCCATTCAAATCTGCTTGGGAGGGCATATTTGACCTTGGGGTGAAGATCTGCTCTCTTAGCCGGTCACATTCGTTTTGTTCATTATTCAACATTTAGGACCATGGTATATAGTGAACAAACAAGCAAAAAACTGTTGCTATCAAGTTGATCCTGACTCAGAGCAATCTTATGGGACAGACTAGAACTGTCCCATTGGGTTTCCAAGGCTGTAATTGGGCGGATCTGTTGCAAAAGACTCCTTGAGTTTAAGGCACAACCCAAGCCATGGTATTTTCTACTGTTCCATATGCATGCGAAAGCTGGACAATGACATTGCCATCAAGTCAATTCTGATTCATAGTGACCCTACAGAACAGAATAAAACTGCCCCGAAGGGTTTCAAAGCTGTAATCTTTGTAAGAGTAGACTGACACATCTTTCTCCTAAGTAGCAGGCTGGTGAGTTTGAACCACTGACCTTTTGGTTAGCAGCTAAGTGCTTAACCACTGCACCACTAGGGCCCCTTTTAGAATTACTGACTATAACTGAAAAGTGAGACTTTCTTCATCTTGCAGTCCAGACCATGCCTCAATGCAGTACTTCTTTCTCCTCATAAATCTGTAACATTTCTTGCCTGGGTCCATTTTTTACCCAGTTGCTTGCTCTTAGTATCTTCTTTAGTAAATATTACTTGAGTATCTCTTATAACAAGACCTTTGAAGAGGCAAAGATGTATAAAACATGTTATGGCAATTTTCCTGAAGAAAACCTATCACTCTAAGAGGGAGAAGACACAAAGTGGTCAGCTTTTTAAACAAAACCAAACTCACTGCCGTCGAATCAGATCTGACTCATAGTGATCACTCCTTGGGTTTCTGAGGCAGTATCACTATGGAAATAGATTGCTCAACCTTCCTTCTGAGCAGTGGCTGGTGGGTTTGAACCGCCAGCCTTCTGGTTAGCAGTCAAATGCCTTAGGACCTTATATACAACAGAATGAAATGTGACCTGATCCTGCAACATTCTCATAATAGCTGACATGTTCAAATCCATTGTTGCAGGTATTATGCCTGATGGTCTCCCTCATCCTTACTGGCCCTCTGCTTCAGCAAACATGTTGCCTTCTTCCAGCAAATATGGAATCCCCTGATGACATATCCAAAGCAAGTAAGTCCAATTTTTTATTGTGATTCATAAGTTTTGCATTGACTAATTTAGAAGTAGATAACCAGGTCTTTCTTCCTAGTCTGTTTTAGTCTGGAAGCTCCACTGAAATTTGTCCATATCGGTGTTCCTGCTGGTATTCAAAACTCCAACGGCACGCTTCCAGCATCACAGCAACCCAGAAGCCACCACAGTATGACAAACTGACATATGGGTGATGCACAGTAGGTCCTCATTAAATATTTCTTGAATAAATTAGTTTAGGGAATGAGTGAAAATAATCATTTCATGTGAGAAGGCTAAGGAGCAGAGATGAAAAAATACATGTGAAGGATTTCAGTACAAAACATTGGCCAACTTAATTTGAAGGCTTGTAAAAATGAATTATTGGAAACTTTAGTTTGAAGAAAGGTCATTTAAAGCCACAGAGCAGTTTAGATATAAAAAAATGATAAATTTCAGTTCCGGCAAGATGGCAGACTAGGCAGAAGGATTGCACAGACCCTCTTCAACAAAGAAAAGGGAAACCAATTAACACAGACACA